AATACAGCACGAAGAGAGAGAACGCTAACCTTGCTCGATGCGACTTCTGGCATGGAGGACAGGAAGGCGGGCGGGGAGGCGGTTATTGCTTGGAGGGAGAGTCCCCCTCCCTACAGGAAGCCGCGACCACCTGTCACAGGAAGGAAAATGGCCGCGGATCCTGTTCATCACCCGATCCAGTGTTCGCGAACGGAGGCAAAATTTTGCAAACAGAGCTGTTCATGAACTGAATTGTTCATGAACAGAAGCGTTCGTGAACCGAGGTACCACTTTAAACCACGAGGTAGTTTAAAGATAAACTAATACAAACTAAGGAAAATATAAAAGAAAAAAGTGCAGAGAAAAAAAATAAAAAATAGTAAATAGTAAAAAAAAAAAGGAAAAAGAAAGGAGTTATATAAAGAAATTACTTCCCCTTCATCAAGACAAGTACAATTTCAGAACCTATCACCTTCTCTAATATTATAACAAAAGATCTCTTCCCATATCTCATCTCTTATCTATAAACAGATTTTAAAGTCATGCAGTTCTAATCAGCAAAAGTCCATTAAGCGTTACCAGAAATAACAACATATATATTTTAACCTTAATCAAATAAGTCAACTTTGTATTCCTTTCCTTTACATTTAACACATAGCTTATCATTTCTGTATCTCTTTGCTGCCATCTTGTGGTCATGCAGACATTTGCAATCTACATCTGATTGTCCTAAAAAAAGTTGAGGTCAACTTTGTCCCAGAATAGAAGCCTATGCACAGTATAGTGTGGATGTTGTTTATTTCAGTTTCCTGGGTCTTCCCAGTTATGTCTGTTGCATTAGATGCTGCTGATGTAAGCTGAAAAAGAAATACATCAATGTTTGGGTTCGCACAATCTGCTAGATCATATCACTTGCTTCAGATTTTTTGCAATAGAAAACACAACATAGACAATGTGGTTTGTAAATCATGATTCAGAACTCCAGTTTATTCAATGACCTATGGGCAAAATAATAATAATTTATTAAATTTATATGCCGCCTGAACTCCCAGCAACTGTCGTAGAGCACTGTGTGCAAGGAAAGCATGTTAAATGTAAACTAGACCACAGTGATGTATTATTGGAATAATGCTCAAATAAAGTTCTACATACATCCTGCTCTTTATGTTCCAAATTTATAAAACCATTGGATCTAATTTGTTCTTTCCCAGGAATATGAAGTTGGCCCGATAGACTTTATCACTTACGATACAGCTCAGAATTAAAGCTTGTTCTCATTTGTTTTATACTGTTATTTCTTTCTTTGTAACATATTGCACAGCTGTAGCAATCTATTACCTCTACCTTGTTTTGGTTCTACTTGTTCTTCCCAGAATACCATATACCTGGGTATAATAATTTTTTCTCTGCACTGAAATCATGTGAAATCAAGAAAGAAATAATTCGCAGTAATAACTAAGAAACTAGAAAAATGAAGTTGGAATTGATAATTTTAAAAACCTGGGACACAGCAAAGTGTCTCATAGGAAGTAAGGAAATAATATAGAACAAAGACCAGCTTTCCTTCCGAAAAAAGGTAAAGTCTTCTTTTAAGTCAAGCTCAGTGCCTGGTGATTACATAGGCAAGATATTAAATGAATCTTCCCCAGTCTGGTAACCTTCAAATATGTGGGAATGCAGATCTTATCATTAATCACCTATGTCCCTTATAGTTTGGATTTAGGTAAGTGAAATCAGCACAAGGTTAGGGAAAATAGATTAAACAGAGTTCTACTTTGCTATATGAGATTGTCTTTTTGTATTTAAATATTATTCATTGAAATTTAGCATTTTAAAAGTTATGAGTTGAATTTGGACTTGGCCTTACACTATATACGCTGATATCAATAGTCAACTCTAAAATACAGCCCTGTGTCTATAACCCACTAAAATAAAGCATTGTTATTATCATAGAATTTTTAATGGATTGTGGCAGGAAAGAGTGTTCTAAGCTAATGGGACCCATGGAGAATCCCAATTTCTGTTCCTTTCTCTTTTTCTTTAGCTGCTTTTTTAACGCAAACTGTATGTCTTGATGATACAACGGTAAAATTTGAAATTTGGGATACAGCTGGTCAAGAACGATACCACAGTTTGGCACCAATGTATTACAGAGGAGCACAGGCAGCTATAGTTGTATATGATATTACCAATGAGGTAGGTAAAGTTAATGTGATAGTTGGAATCTTGGTTCTAAATAGAAAATGTTGATATAGTATTCATTTATAAAATATAAATGAGTATTTTTCTTTTTGCATCGGAACAAATAAGTATTTTTGCCCTACTTTTAACATTTAATGACAGTTGTTCAATAACTTACATTACATTATATTACATTACATTACATTATATTAGTTATTAATTACTTACATTCAAACAATTTAGGATGCCACAATAGAGAATTTTGCCTCTCTTCTCTGCCACTTCCTAAGTATTCAATGTTTCAAATGTAGAATAGATTGTAGGAAATCATCATGTGTTATATATTGCCCCTAAAATTGCTGCTGTTTTTCAGTTTTAAAGCAGTTTGCATTGTATGCTCCTAAATTCTCTGGTCAAAATATTGCAAAGCTCTATTTTATAGCATAGAACATGAAATTGTCCTAGTGTGGTTTTGAACAGCCCGAGTTCTTCACTGGGTGAAAAACATTGCTCTCTGTTATAAGGCTATAGCACAAAAAATACATTTTGAATTTTTTTCCTTCAAAATTCATTAAGACAATTTTATATTTTTTTTATAATATAATTTCTACATCTTTTGTGGGTTCTTGCCATGTTTCCTTGTTCAACATTTTATTCTTGTGTCCATTTTATGTTAAGGTAATGAGAGAACATCTACGTTATGTCTTGTTCTTTCCATGCTTTGCTTCAAGATATTAGAAGAATTCTCAAAACACATGAGTCTGCATTTATTATAGAATAAACTTTTTATGGATTGTAGTCTATTTCATCACATGTATGGAGAATAAGATAAGAGTTTATATACACAAGATATGGTGGAGTGAAATATTAAAAATTGTCAAAGAAAATGTAGGAGTGGTAGACTGTGATAAGCCTTATAGATAGCGACTATTTGCAAAACATTTTCCTTTGCCTATTAGAGGCAAATGACTTGGCTATTTTATAGATTAGTTTGTAACCCTAAAAAAATCTCCATTGATGTTAAGAGTTTTGTAGCAGTTTACAGTTATAGGAGTTCGTGAAATTAGAAGTTTATGTAACAAAAACGGAGACAAAATTGTTAAAACGTAGTTTTTGGCATTGGATATCCAGCCATATACTTTTATTGACATCTTGTAAAATGGAAAAATAAATGAGTTTTCTCTTTAAATGCTTGACAGGAATCCTTTGCAAGAGCAAAAAACTGGGTAAAAGAACTTCAGAGGCAAGCAAGTCCCAACATTGTAATAGCTTTAGCAGGAAATAAGGCTGATCTAGCTAACAAAAGGGCTGTAGATTTTCAGGTAAGTTTCAGCTCTAATATTTGATCTGAAATTGTAGTTTTGCTGAAATAATATATAGAAATGTAAAACACTATAGTCATATTATTACTCTGGGAGGATTCTGCTAGTTAGATCTTTATTTTGTGATTCATATTGTGACTATTTTTAAGCCATCACTCACCTTCAAAAACATCTAAATCCATTTACCAATGTAAAAATAAAATCTGGAATGGCAATGGCTGGGAAGCAACTGATTGTAATTATTTATGCCATCAGAGTAGTATAAAAAGAACTTTCAGTTCTCCCCCCCCCCTTATTAAACAGTGTAGTCATATTTGTTACATTAATTGCAATTGATTAGAGCTGTCGGATGAAATTGAAGATTATAGCTAATGTTATGCTATCATTACATAATTCTAAAGAGAAAGCTAAAAAAAATGTAGTCTTAGATGCTGTCAGAAGTTCTCTGCCTACGTATACACTATGTTGGTTTACCTAACATGTATTAGTTAATATGTTTGAATAAATAGAATGTTGCATTTGGACTATGGAGGCCATAATTTAAATTGTCACGCAGTCTTGGATTACATGGGATGATTTTGGCCAATCCGTAAACCACTTAACAGGCTTATTGCAAGATGAAATATGAGAAAATATATGCATACTTTTTCAACCGACAGGCAGAGATTTTATTGGTGATAGCTATGGATAAAGATAGGACCAATCAGGAATTTTGAGGGCCCTAAATAGTGCAACTCTTTGCACATAAACACTGTTAGTGAAAGCATCTGATGTAAAAGGGTGGATTGAATTGGAAATAAAAATTAATAAAAATAAAAATAAATTGTGCTTGTCAAAGTTTTTAGCAAAGCACACACTTTCTTCAAGCCTATTAGCATTTATATTGCATTCCCTTTAAAGTAAGGGTATAACTTACTGCTAAGAGAATCATCAGCAATAGGTACATATAAATGCTAATCTGAGTATATCACAAATTTATAATATTTTACACAATTTTTTGGTTCTTAGCTATTACTGTCACCAGAGGTTCAGTTGTATTCATTCTACAGTATTTTCAAAAATTAAGACCTTAAATGTCACGGTTCCTTGGTATTTAGGTGTAGTGGGATTTTTTACCTATTTGGAGACTGTTATTTCTTGCCTTCTGTCCCATTCCTATTTGAAGGCTCATAAATCAGAACCGTGACTTCAAGTTTGCAGAAATTCCTATGAAACAGAGGATAGTTATGATAGGTGTGTTATATTTAGCATAAACATGTTTATCATTACAGTATATTTTAGCAAGCACCAACCCAAATAGTATGTAAAGTGCATTGAAGATTTAGAGATGAGTTCTGAGCCTAAAGGTAAACATAAACAAGCCCTTGAGTTGATCTTGATTCCTGATAACTTGTCAACAACGCAGAAATCATTTGTTATTCCCTTCTTCCAGAATATTTTTTTAATTTCTAAGTCTAGCCTGAAAACTAACTCTAAATAAATTCTGTAAAGGCAGGCCTGTAACCATGTCTGTAACTTCTAACAATTTCCCTTGTTAGCACTTGTGTCTTCTAATAGGTATAATTCTCTAATTAGAATCTAATTTTCTTTTTCCTTTAATCACCAACTTTCAGATTGTACCTTTAGAATAGTGAGCATTTATAGGTCCTGAGAAGAAATCATTCAGCAGCCTCATATTTCGTTTCTATTTCACCCAGTTAAAATAGTGCTTTCTTAGCTAATTTCTATGCATTTTTGTTCATTTGGTGCCACTGCATACCTTTAAAAATATTAGCTTTAGATCTGACTAAACTAGACAAATTAAAATTTGATCTTTAAAACACTGTTCTACCTCCAGACACTACTAACATTTTATATAACACAGATTTACCCCAAGAAAAATAAATGGGCATTTTATATTTACAGGAAGCACAGTCTTATGCAGATGACAACAGTTTATTGTTCATGGAAACATCAGCTAAAACATCAATGAATGTAAATGAAATATTCATGGCAATTGGTAAGTGAACTATTACTTAAAGGAACAGTTCAAAAACCTTTTTGTGACACACATTTAAGAGACAGCATTCACCAAAATCATCAGAATACAGTGGTAAATGGACAGCCTGAGCTCTCATTTCTGCTTGATAGTAATAATTTGCCATTCTTACTCATAAAATGTAAAGCAGGTTTCTATACTTTGCAGCTATTCACAAATTGATAATCTCTTTAAAATGTATTCATGGAATGTAGAACATTGAAATAAAGAGTAGATTAGCAAAGATAAAGTTCATTTTGAACACATAACTTGATTTATCTTTAATGAAGCACTTTTGTTTCTAGGTAAAAAATAAAATATTTTCTGATAAAAATGGCGGCAGTTTATGGCCCAATAAATCATGACAGGTTTAGGAAAACTGAGATTTATTAGAGCACATGATTAATAAATGTATTAAATAAGTGAGATCTGAAGGCTGTTATACATGTGGAATGGAATCCAAGGTTAGCTGTACATAGAATGAGCTGTACATAGAATTAAGTAAAGCCTTAATCTGGTGTATCCTATTTATTAGGCCTATTGAGATGAGCCAATTCAAATATGAATAACCCCAAATCCAAAGATATTTAATTCCAATATCTGAGAATATGTGTTAGCTCAATCTTTATTTATTGTGACAAATTCAACTCATTCCAATAATGTTTATTGTGTTTTGTTCAGTTGATTGAAGCTATATCGTGTTTGCTATTACGTTCAGTTGACGTTTTCTTTCATTCTGTTAAGTAAGTAAGGGCCTGTTGGAAAGCATTCCAGCAAAGTGTTTACTTTAAAACTTGCCCCAAGTGGTCTTTGCTGTGTGTACTTCAAAAGCAGTGCAATCCTATATTATTAAGAGTTAGAAAAGAAAATTAGATCTAAAAGTAACCCCAAAAGTTAAGAATTTATGAAGCAGAGAAATTAATTTGAATGGGATTTAAACCAAGCATAAACTATTATTTTATTCCCATGAAACAGTGTTAATTTATTTTCCACTTTTGCAGCATTATTCTGCTATGTTTCTAGGGATCTCAGCAGTTTATGTAGAAAGAGTGACTCATTTAACACATTGTGCTAAGCCATGATTTTTTTCAACATAGTTTTTTAAACAAGCCACAATGAATCATAATGGGCAAGTTTGATACATACAGGCAAGCCATATTGAAATAGTTTCATAATCTTTCAGGATCACTGCCAGCTTAATGTCTGAATGATATTTTGATTCCAGATCTTCTCAGGTCTCTTTCAATATTTTAAGCACTGTTCTGTACTGATTATAGCAATGTTTGTTTTTGTAAGCAGACCATAAGGATTTTTTAGGATCTTTTGAAGAAGGAATTAATGTGTGTTGCCTGCAAAAATAAATATGGTGTGAAATATATGGTATAGTTGTTAGAGTTAGCTGCCGGTAGAGCCAAGTTAAAGCAAGGCATTCTCCAGAAGCATTACGTGAGGACCAGTGAACCTCATCAATTTATGTGGAAGGTTAGGCAGAAGAAAAAATGTTGAATATGCTATACAGTTCTGTTAGCTATGAATATACACAGGAAATGCTTATTTAAAAAAAAATACTATTTTTGCTATCTTTTTTTTATAGCTAAAAAGTTGCCGAAGAACGAACCACAGAATGCAGGAGCTATCAGTGGTAGAGGAAGAGGAGGAGTAGATCTTACTGAACCAACACAACCAACTAAGAGTCAATGTTGTAGCAACTAAACTTTCAGCTGCTTTAAACTGTCTTGAATATTCTTCCGCTTCCTAACTTGTTAATAACAATGGAATTTGGAGTGTTTAACCTGGCCCAATACAGCTTCCAAAATCGAAGAGACTTATGAAATAGTTGTTTCTAATACAGAATGATTTTGTCCTAATTTTTAATAACATGCATGTATCACTGGCTGTTATGTTTCAACAACGGGGTGGGGTGGGGAAGGAAGCTGGATAAACCTGCTTCAATTGAGAGGTTTATAACTGGATCACATGTCATTAGGAATAGAGACTGAACTACTCCATGGATCTGCAGCTAACCAGTTAGTTCCTCAAGTGTTGGATATTGGTTACTGTTAAAAGTGTAATGAATAGAATTTGGATTCTCCATTTGTGGTATGGCAAAAAAAAAAAAAAACCCTAATACACCTTCTGAATTTCCTATAAGCTTATTCACAGTATTTATGCAAAATGTTTATGTGGGTAACTACCATTTAAATATACATTCCACAGTTTCATAATTTAAGTGAAATATGTGCAACATTAACAATTTTATTGATCCTGTGCTTGCAAAACAATTGGTTTTCTTTAGTTGTTACACTATATATAAATTTGTCAAAACCCAGTTTAAAATAAAAAAAAATCAAGCTTCACACATCTTTTCCTGCTTATAAAAGGTCACAACCAATGAATTCAACTTCTAATGCAACAAAACATCTTTCCTAACAAACTGTTGAGACATATCTTACAAAAACTAGGTAGCTGATTTTGATTTTAATCAGTGTTGACCATTAACACAATTACCTTTTCCCTAAGGATAAAATTGGTCAGAGCACTAACAATTATGTACATTCAACTTGATTTTAAATTGGGATGTTAATGTACTGTAAATAGGGTACTGCATTGTAGTCTACATCTGTTTAATACTCTGTACTATTTAAGAGTTGCTTAAAAGTATACAATATGTACAGTTACTTTAAAGAGCTAACATTTTGTTTTCCCCAGATTGTGAGGGGAATTAAGTTCTTCCTTCATGGCTAGAACAGTAATAAATGATGCTCCTGTACCTGTAACATAAGTACTACTGTCTGTCTGTAATGAATTCTGCAACGTTGTTTTCCAAAGTCCATTTTATTTTGATCTGTCCAGTATATTGCACTAATTCTTTAGTTATTTTCATTATATGAAATCTACCAAGTGTCAGAAAAGATGATTTAATCTATTTAAATGTTGAACTGCTAGCAAAAACTTACATGTGCAGATGTAAATTTGCAGTAATTTGGGCTTAGCAAGGAAAATGACAGTTCACCAGTGTTTAGTTTTATATTGAGGTGCTCAGGTTTGAATAAAGTGGTATAAAAAGGAAATCATAGTAATCATTTTTTTAAAATAAGTGTTTATTTTTTGTGTATTTTGTCAGTTTCTTACTCAGTTTTCTCCCATAAGCACACCATAAGTGCTAAAAGTGGGTATGTTATCACATCCATTTAAGAGAGCTAGCAGAACAGAAACATTATTTCTAGAACCTGCTTTAAGAGCAGCTTTTACTAGGTGTTTAGTAATATACTTTGCTGCAAGACTATAAAATGTCCTAGAATCTGTTTCTGAATCTTCAGATATCTGTAAAAATTCATGACTTTCAGATAACAATTCCTCTGCATTTTTTTCTTTTTGAGCTGCTTCAGTGTCTGCTGGAGTGTTTTCTTTTGAAGATGTAGCAACACTAAAAGGTGGTTCTAAAAAGTTTTCTGATATTTGCTCTTCTGTAGAAATAGTACAACAACTTGACTGAAATACTACTTTCTCTTCTGTGCCATTGTTAATTGGGAGCCTCAACTGAAAACTTCGTTCAGTTTCCTCTTTGTTGTCTAAATCTGGTTCAGGAAAAAAATCGCGATTCCTATACCATGAATAGAATTGATCTTCTAACTCTGAAGCTTTGGGTATATAACTTTTCATCAATTGGGCATGTTGATATTTTGCCAAATAAGCAGAAAACAAAGTTAATGTTAATACCACAACCTCACTTTTATCCAAAACTTCCCAAAGCCCATTAGTTGCTATAATAAGAAATTGACATGAGTTATCAACAGAGAAAGAGATTGTATGTGGTACGGGAATAACTCTTTTCTTCACCTTCGGGTTTCCATGATGGCCAAGGCCACGAGTATTCTTTATTAGTCCTTCTATTAGTCCTTTAGGCTCATTACTGCTGAGAGATCCACCATTCTGAAGAACACGTGTCCTTTCCTCTCTACAGTAAGTGGAGTGTTCTTTAGTAAGCCAATAGCTCTTTCCATTTTTGCATAAAACTGCATGAACATTACCTAAAATTTAAAAAATTCATTGTATAATTTTGAAGACAATTTATCCAAGAGATTGATTTCAAGTATTGCTTTTACTGTACCAATTATCTCTGTAATAGCACAGATAATGCCTTTCCACATCTGTGATAAGGCATCATTTTGGGCATAGCAGTATAGATATGTAACAATCTGAATAACGGTACTCTAGTGCTAAACAGTTTTGTGTTTGGGTTCATGTCTTCAATAACATCCTCCGTGGTTCCAAGTCAAATGCTGATTTTTAAAAGCCGTTTAACGTGTTTTCTAAAAGTTTGCAATAGACTCTAAGAAAATGTGTGGTTGCTGTTGAAAAGGGTGTCATGCAAAGGATCTTTGTTTATATGAGGAAATGTAGTTTGCCAACAGGACTGGAACAAAAATAGGGCCACTAAGAGGAGGGTGAAGTATCAGCATGCTTCAGTGAGTCACTGAGGTGTATAAATACAAAGCTACATAATACTACAATGGTTGGCAGTACAATAAATTTACATTAAAAAAAAACAAACTAAGCCTGATTAGCGCCCTGTTTTGAAAAGCCAGAGAACACTAGGGAGAAAGCAACAAAGAAAAGCAGAGGTGGAGGGGACAGGTCCTTCAGCCCTTATAATTTAGTATCTTGATACAGAACAGTGACTCAAACTTGGCAACTCCACATATCTTAGTTGCCGTGTTTGAGAAACACTGATATAGAACAACCTTTGATGTCAGATATTTTGGAGCTGCAACTCCCCAAATTCTCAGGCAGTTTAGGCAACACGTTAGATCAGTGTTTCTGGCTGGGGAATTCTGGGAGTTGAAGTCCACACATCTTAAAGTTGTCAAGGGTGAGAAACACTGCACTAGATGGTACCTGGGTGGGGAAACTTTATCTTCCTTAGTATGACTACTACTAAGATACTACTGTGCCGTGAAATTCTCTGCTCTGAGACAGTGCTGGGTAAGATGAGCATACATTACTCTGTTGTCAGTTATGCTGCATAATGCTTATCTGGCTAGTGTTTCTCAAATACTATTGTGCCCCAAATAAGCAAAACTTAAACTTGTGCATAAAGTGAAAGAAAAATGCTTTGGTTTGAATCCAGGACAAATTGTGTTCCAGAAGTTCTGTTGAACGGTTTTAGCTCAGCTTGTGATTCAAAAGAAATAAAGCTTAAAGTGTTTTGGTTGTCCCAGGCTTTGATCAAAATAAAACCTCAAGGAATCCCAGAGTGATTTGACAAGGCAAGCATGACAAGGCAGATGGGTATCACCCGTTTCAACAGTTTGCAGTGCAGTATATCTCACCAGCTTGACTGCCCACCTGATCTTCCCAGCCGCTGGTGACTATACTGTCCTGCACATCTGTTATTTATTGTGACGTAAAGAACAGGCTCCTAGCATGATTTATCCCAGTGGCCCCCTGCTCTGATTTTCCCAGTGCTTCCCCTCTGTTGCTGCTGCCTTTTCTTCCTACTCTTACCCCAGCCACAAACCACTTCTGCGTGGGACAGCTGTTTTTTGTTCTATGTACAAACCAAAACACTCAGGCCCAGACAACCTAAAAACACCTGTTCTGAGCACCAGATGGCTCCAGCATGGAATGTTTTGCACATCCTTATTCAAAACATAGCTGGTGCTTAATACGGCAGATAAAAGTATTTGAAACATAATGTGCCCCAGGTGCTGAAACGTAGCAATCTTTCAACAAAATATGCTCAGAGCTTAGCAGGTAGGGCCAATTGGATCCCAATTTTTAAAGTTTTTACAACAAAAATGATAGCAAATATTAATTTACTACTGTCACATATCCCACTGCAATCCAATGACTCTTGGCAGGATGTAAAGCATTGCAAGAGTAATAGATGGTACATAGAAGGTACAGCCAATTCAACAACCCAGGTAAGCAAGATGGAAAATTCGTGGGGGCATCTGATTGAAAAGCAATATTTCAGTTAGAGCTTGAAGGGGGTGTCTTTCCTACCAGATTTGCCTATGTTCACATTCAAGTTCAAATATTTATTTTTATATTTCAAATTTGTCACTGCCCATCTCACCACAGAGCGACTCTGGGTGGTTTATTACAACTTGCCTAAGTTTTTCTGTTTAAAATCCTGTCTCTATCCTGGGCAACAAGGTCTTTATAACCACACATATGGTAGGGTTATATTGATTTCCATTTTTTTAAAAGATATTTTTACCAAATCCTTGTTTTCTGATGGCTCAATTTTCCAAAAACACCTTTGGCTAATACACTGCCAGTCTGATTTAAGGTAAATATGATTCATTACAGTTTAACTGGGATCACTAATCAAGTTATGATTTGCCCAGACCGAAGAGTTAGTTGTCATATGATGTAATTGAACTGAGCTGGTAATATATATTTGGAAAAAGATACCCTCATAGATTAAATCTACCCTCATAGATTAAAATACTAGGGAAATTCTGCTGAAAAATTCAGATTGGAACAATATATACAATAAATTACTATTCTAGAATTATTCCCTATTGTATTCTATGAATATTTCACCTGCTAAAAGTCCAATACAGAATTCAGGGGTTAACAATTGTGTACCACCCAGAGAAAAAAATGGGAGAGAGAGGGGTAACACAACATCCTGGATTTTATACATACCAATGTTAGCGATATGCATTAGTCCAACAATTTCATCTGAATTCTGATTGTCTTCAATCCAGCCTGCTTCCTGGATCTCATCTTTACTGTTTGCCAGCTGCTCACTATCTTCTGGCTCTATGATGCTCTTTTTCATTCCATAATTTATTCTTCTAAGTAGCTCTTCTTGTGGATGTCCTATGAGAGAACCTGCCTCTTGTTCTGTGCCATTCTGTTCTTTCCCGTAATCCATTCTTGCAAGTGGCTCTTCTTGGTGCTGTTCTGTAACTGAGCCTTCCTCTTGTTCTGGGCTGTTCTGTTCCTTTCCATCACTTACTCTTCCAAGAGGCTGATCTTCCTGCTGTTCCATAATTTTGCCTGCTTCTTGCTCTGTGATGCTTCTTGTCTTTATTCTGTTTGTTTCAGACAGACCCTCCTCATGTTGCATGAAGTTCTGCTCCTCATTATCATTTATTGTTTCAACTGCTTCTTTCCCTTCTTGGTTTTGTTTTATGTTGCTTACCGTTTCTACTAAACATATGGCAGTTGTACAGCTACTCCAGCGAACTCTGGAAATTTCACTTCGTCCAAGACGTAAAAGCCTGTCCATTCTCCAAAAAGCTTTTGCGCATGCTCTGTGAATCCATTCATACTTGTTTGGCTGTGATTCTTGGCTTCTGACTCTTGTAATAGCAAACATTTTCTCCCTTATTTTATAATCTGTCTTGAAGATAGTGCGAAAAGAATGAAGCATCTTTTTTTCAGCATCACTAATTTGATAGGAGGGATCACTATGAGAAAGCTGGTCAAGAAGTAGAAGAGGAAGCTCATCTGAAGTTAACTGAGCAGCAGAAATTCCATTGCTTCCATCAAAGAGTCCAAGTAAGCAAGTATCTTTCCTGTGCCCATAATTATCTAATACAGTAAATACATCTTCCAAATCTGTGTGCCAAACAGCATTTTTGTCTTGACAAATTGCTATGGCTTTAATCAGTGGATTGCTTACTTCTTTAATATACACTGAACTTTGAGCAACATTATTGATGCAAAAGTATGGAGCAATTTTGATGCTCTCCTTAAGAAGATCAACTGAACAACCAATCTTTTCTATCTCTCGTTCAGGATATTGGGCAGTTTTTCGCAGTCTTAAAATGAGTTGCTTCCTCTGAAGGACAATTTTTTTAATATCTATAGCCTCCATCCATGGACACTGATAATCCAGCACAGCTTGAGCTTGATGGACTTTTTTGTGATGAAAAAGTTGGCTAATGTATACCATTTCTTCACAAATAGAGCATGGAATTCTAATGTCTAGGCTTTCAATTTTCTTCAAATCAGTGTAAACCATCTTTGTTAAATCTTGCTCCTCTTTGCAAGTTTCAACGTTCTGTAGTTCTTGCTCCTCTTTGCAAGTTTCAGAGTTTTGTACTTCTGTTTGGTATGTCATTCTATGGGGGAGAGATAAATAAAATGTGTTTTAGTTATAATTATAAAACAAAGTTAAAAAATATAGGCTGGGATCCAAGAAGTCTCAAAACTAGTTCTCAAACACAGGGAAGTTTCAAAGAAGTCTCACATAGATGAGGCAGGGAAGAAATGTATTGAAAGGGGCTGGGGACCCCCCAAATTCTAAGTCTATTTTCTTGTAACTGAAAACAGCCATTTAGATTACAGCTCCTATTTTATATACCTTTGGCAATCTATTGTGGATTCCAGAGTAATTATGAGTAACTCATACAACTTTGTTATTATATATAGTGAATTGTCACAGAATACTGCAAAACATAACTTCAGATACATGTGCTCAAGATTAACCTTTTACCTATTCTTAAACACTTTGTATATAGCTCATAAAAATGTATAGACTTGATCTGCAAATGCAGAGAAAGGATTTTTTTAAATAATGTATTATTATTGTAATTTAGGAAAAAAAACTGATACAAATACACATCCTTACAGCTCTTATAATACACAATGCCAGTTTAGTGTATTTTGAAAAAATATGTGATTTGGTGATTTTTTTTTTTTTAAATCTCAGGTTGAAATGGGATTATGACTTTCAAGATTTGTTCCATTCTACAATAAATTAATTTCCAGTATTGTTGAGCTTTGCAATATTGATACCATATATTGCATGGAAGAAAGATCCATTCTGTTAATTGCATTTCCAACATTTTGAGGGAAAGGAGTCACTCCTTTTAGTATACATGATTGAGGTAATGTACCAGTGATGAAACATCTTATAGCAGTTATCTCTAAGTATAATGTTTGAGGTGAATTTAATATTCTTTTTCTATTGAAATTCCCACTGTTCCATTTCTATAATTGCATTGAAATTTTACATCAGCTTAATCATGCAGGTTTTAACTTGTAAAGGATCTGAATTGTATTTCACTAATTGATTACCAATGGGCCCAGCTGGTCAGAGAAAGAACAACAAAAACTTTTCTGAAAGATTGGAAACATTATATGGAATTTTACCGGAAGAAGAAAGAAATGAAATGATGATTTATGGATTTGAAGATTAAGAAAGACAACTTCTGAGGACAGCATGGCAGACTGAAGACAGCTCCACTTTTGTGGAGCTGATGGCCACAGTGAAAAGAGGAGCTAGTGAAGAGGTGGCTCCTCGGAATCCCTCTCTGGATTAAGGAGAGGGCAAGGATTGCCCACAAGTTAGCTCCAAACAGAATCTCCCTGCGAAGAGATTGTAAAATAGTGATCTCTAGCAAGTTTGAGAATTCTGGGAGCTGAGGGAAAAACATACTGTCTAAGCTGCAGTTTGGCACCCCTTAAAGTGACACTGGGTTCACCTTCTTCCTTTCTTAAGTACTTTAGGAAGCGGCTTTTTACTGATTTCTTAGAAGTTAAGAACCTTCCGAAGGGCAAGTTTTATTACGCCGGGAGAATCTCCTTCAACCCTAGATGAAAGAAGCTTTATGTAAGTGTAAGGATTAAAAAGAAAAGGTTTACTTTTTGGAAACAGCAGGAGGAAGATGAGAATGTGGATTTTGGACAATTAAGGGGCTAAATGGACTTGAAAGAATATTTCCTGTGGGGTGTTTAAAAATTTATGAAAGAATATATGAGGTTTCTGAAATTAATTGTAAGAAATCTTCCCATGGGAAAGTTTTGTTGACTGGAAAATAAATAGACGATAAGAGGGGACTTGAAAGTTGTCTAAAGGGAACCAGAGAGAACAAACAATTACAATTAAAGGAGAAGAAACCTATTAATACAATGGAGCATATTATTTGACTATAGAAGAAATTAAGGCTGTTTGGGAACAATGTATGCAGAAATTATTTACAAGATTGTCTGATACCATAACAGAGGATATAGATTAACAACAGATTTTATTGGACAAACAGAGATTGAGGCTGATTTGAATGTGGATTTAGAGTTTTTAAAAATGCTGGATTATAAAAGTGATATGGAAAAAGATGCTGTGGATTTGAAAATGGACTTAAAAATGCCAGAGTATAAGAGTGATATGGAGAAAGATGTCAGAATGGATTTACAAATGAAACCAGCTGATGTTATAATAATTAAAGGGGATATACAAATAATAAATTAGAAGAGTGACTTGGAAAGCCTTCTTATTTGGGAATTTCAAGAGGAATGTGTTAAACCAATGAAGCTGTTTCTGAGAGGAGACAAAGAGAAACTACTGAAGTTGTTCCTGAAAGGAGACAAAAAGAACATGATAAAAAAATCAACCTGTGGGACACTATTTGACAGGATTAAAGATTCAACTTTTTAAAAGTAGAATGTGTTAAACCAATGAAGCTGTTTCTGAGAGGAGACAAAGAGAAACTACTGAAGTTGTTCCTGAAAGGAGACAAAAAGAACATGATAAAAAAATCAACCTGTGGGACACTATTTGACAGGATTAAAGATTCAGCTTTTTAAAAGTAAACAAAAGGTTTACAAAGTGGACTTATTTGACTATGGTTAAAATATATGCTATGGTTTCTGGTAGCTATCAATGGGACTTCTTTTCAGCCAGGATTGAATGAAGAGGTTTTAAGGATTTGTTTATAAGTGGGGAGAGATTTATTTTGCTTTATTTCTTAGAGAAGAAAGGTTAAAATATATGCTATTATTTTTGATAGCTCTTAATAGACTTTTGCTGATTAGGATTGGATGATGAATTTTTATACTTTTATTATTTATAAGCGATGAGTTAGGGGAAGAACAGATCTTTTTTATTTTTTCTTTATTGAAATACTAGAGAAGGTGTTAAGTTACTGAAATTGTTTATACAGTGGAACCTCGGGTTACGAACGCTTCTGTTCACGAACTTTTCGGGTGACGACCAGCTCCGGCCGCAAAATTTGGCTGCGGTTCACGAACGCCGCCTCGGGTCACGAACAGGGTCCGCGGCCAT